TACAATTTTACGAACACAAACAGATAGAACCTTTTAGATGAACTGATTTTTTGAAGAAAACGAAATGACTTTCTCCCTAACCTAGTATACTAACGCATTATGCAAAAATAATAAGTCTGATAGCAAAAAAGATACAGAAGATGAATATGATAAAAGTTACAGAAAAGAGAGAACATGATGGGTCCTCATTTGAATGACCTTTGTATTGAATTATGTCGTTTCATAAAGTAATTATGTGCTCTCCCATATCATTTCATCATCAATATAAAATAGAGGAGACAGATGACTTGCAAGGACATCAATCTAAAACACAAGAAAAGTCTTTCGACATTCTGACCGGCTCCAGGTCGGATGACAACTTTTGCAAACACTATTTGCTGTGCATTTCTTGGTCAAATTAAAGCGACAGCCTTGACAGGTGAGCAAATCTATCGTTGCTAATGACACTTCGCTGGACCTTTTGTTGGACAGTGAAAATTAGAAAAAAGGGTGAAGGGTCGAAGCCTTTTGTAGTCCGATTTGGTCAAGAACTCAAGTGGAATCTTTCAATCACGTTTTGCCATACATAACAAAGCCGAATTCCCTTGTTACATTATTGCTAAGAAACAGTGCAATCAACGAGGTATCTGTAACCAGGTGAGAAAATCAGCTCCCGCATTTTTCATTACATTTCATTATTATTACATTTTGCATATTTTCCATAATCTTCTGTCTTCTTCAAACCAAAATGCCATAATTTCGTAGTGAAGTTTATATGTGACAGCACGCAGCGCCGTGGAATGACAATATGTCACTTCGAGCGAATTCTCACGAGAGTTTTGCGCCGAACACGAAAACCAGAAACTAATAGAAATTAGTTGAGTGAAATTTGTAGTGACAAGGGCTGTCAACGCTGGCGACGTCTTTCACTCACTTGCACGATTTTCTGCATCAACTCCTCCGGAGACATCACCGTTCGCAGGTTCAGCAGAAGGGTGAACATATAGTTTGCGTCCGGGACACCGTCCCTGGTCGGGAGAAGACGAGCGATCAGTGCTTCTGGGGAACCACTCAGCACATTGCCCATAGGGTCCATGACAATGTCCTGAAATACAGGAGGGATATTTTTGGTGAGAGAACGATTACACTTACATTTTGATCGAATTTATCGCTTCTGTGTGTGTTCAGCTCCAAATCGCGCCGCTTTCCCGACGACGTCATCATCGGTGAGGCGGCAAGCATTCCAGACTGAAAAAATTATATAAAATTTATATCAAAAACCATAAAACTACACGGTTTGAGTGCCGCAAACAATCTAACAATGCGGAAAAGATTTGTTCAAAGAAGCAACTATTACTTGGTCCATTAATCTGCCAAAAAATTGTAAAAATCGTTGTT